TATGTTTTGAAGGGATGCTAGCTGTGAACACCTTCTAAAACCCTTGGAGATTTTATTGAACCTAATTTTGAAAACTTCTTGTTAGTTGTTATCCCAATAGATGGAATGTTAGTAAAGTGATTCCTATTAATATCCTTTAAGTCTAGAATTATTAGCATAATCTCTGCGGTTTCAAAGATAATTGAAGTGATAATTTTTGATGTATTGTTCGGTGAGATATCTGGTAGGATCACATCATGCCAGCATGGCTCATTTCCCAAGAGGTCAACTTTAACTAATCTGATCACTTTTTCTCAATGCGTTGCATTTCTTGGCCTTGGCCGCCATGACTTATTTTTGACGTTTAATTGCTAAATAATAGATGACGCCACAATAACTAGTGTAATCGGGGATAATATCACGAGAGCTTCACGAGTCCGTAGGACGAGTGAAATTTGCAGAGAAAACACGCGAAAAATTATCTGGTTCATTTTAAAGCTCAAGTGGTATTTAGAGGATTATTTCACATATGAGAATGCAAAAAATATGGAAATAAATATGTATTGAACGATTTGAAGATCTTAACAATCAATACAAATAAATGGTTGCTATCAGGAAACGTTTGTTTGTATTAAAAATTAGCATGACAACCATGTATACAATAACATGGGAGAATTATCGCTGTAATTCTCTCTAGTTAAACAAATAGAAAAGAGAATTTTCGCTGAAATTCTGAAAATCGTCACTTGTCTTATGGGATTTCTAACACATGAGTGGAATAATCACTGTAATCTAGTTAATTTGCAGTAAATTCCATTCGACAGTCTCGAGATTATATTCTCACTTTCCATTCCATTACAAATTAATAAATGAAAAGCCGTGTTTTTTTTTTCAAACAAAGTCTCAAGAAAATATGAAATTCATTATTAGTGTGTTGCCAAAAATCAAGTCAACGTTCCTACACTCTACTAGGGCTGGGTCCAGTAATTGAGTCTGCGAGCAAAATAAGTAAAATTTGACAGATGTCACGTGGTTTGACACGTGAAAAAAGATAAGTGATCACGTGACGCCATAGGGATAAAGATCTCTATCCGTTACAGAGTTCCAGCCCTGACGACTTAGTTATGACGTCGGAAATGGTGGCACACATTACTAAAAACGACGCCGATAAGCTCTCTTTAGAGTGTGTACTCTCCTTGATTTTTATCCGTTTTTGACGTCACACCTGACAGAGCACAAGCGCTTCGTCAGTAGCGCTGTTATTCGCATAAATATTAATAATAAATGTTATTTTTTGTATTGTTTATTTGCAATACAGTTTCAAAACAAGTCACTTCTTTCGAAAAACAAAATAAGAAACACATAAAATATTCATAAATGTCATGAAAACAATAGCGGACATCACGATTCCGTTTGTGACGTCACGCTGCCTCTTTACCGCGAGGGGTGCCAAACATCAAAATTGGCAGATTGTGCATACCTAAAAAGGTGCGTACAGACATGCAACAGAACGCCGTAACGTAACTTCACCGCGTAACAAGTACGCGACATATCTGGACCGTACTCTGCAACATCGTAGCAGTACAGCAACCGCGTAACACCGTAACATCGCAGCGTCCCATCGGTTGTCGGTAAATCGACACCGCATCAAAGAAATGTTCGCGGCGATGTTGCACTTGATTTTTTTAGTCTGGACGTGCTTGCGAACCCGGTGCCGTTGTTTTGGTTTTGCCCTTTTGTATTTCCACTATTTCCAGTCAAATTCAGTTGCTATTTTGATTTCGATAGAAATGGAGTGGACGGAAGACAGTGTGCTTGAGTTTATCGAAATTTATAGAGGGAAGGAAATTTTATGGAATAACAAACATCCCAGATATTTTAATAAAATTCAGAAAAATGATGCGTGGGAAGATGTCGCAAGAAGTGTAGGTGCTACGATTGACGAGTGCAAGAAGAAAATTAGTGCGTTGCAGTCAGCGCTGAGGCGGGAAAAGTCAAAAATTAAAAAAAGCATGGGCACCGGAACAGGTAAAGATTTATTAATTAATTAAATTTTTTTGACACTTCTAACAGCCAATTTTTTTAACAACTTTCTCAAGCTTGTTGCCTTCAACAAGCTTTCGAAACCTGTTAAAAAAATGTTTTCGAACAATTATCAATGTCCTTGGGTTGTTACTACTGGTATAGTTTTTCCAAAGTCAATTGGAACAAGGTAAACATAAATCATACTGGTGGCCGGCTGACTAGTGGCAGTGGCGGCAGTGCATTTCTTATGGAACTTTCCAGTGACCATCAGTCAGCCACCAGTTGGTACCTTGTTCCAATTGACTTTTGTAATAGTATAATATGAATTGATTAATATACTATTATTTCAATTGTAGGGCGTTCCGATGTGTATGAAAGTTCTTGGTTCGCATTCAAGAGCTTGCTATTCCTGTGGGACAAAAACAAAGTACGCAATACTCAAAGCTCTGTAAGTGTTTATTTATTTATTTATTTATTTTTTTCAATATTATTTAAGTATATTTATCTTGCCACAAAATCCGCCCTTCATTTTGAAAGAAATCAGCCAATTCTTCTCGAATTGCTTTAGCCTGTATGGATGGTTTTCTGGGAATATTTCTGAGAGGAAGTAGCGAAGTAGTTGGTTCATTACTTGAAGCTCTCGCTCCATCGACAAGTTTTCCCTCTACTTCCGTATCGAATGTTCCGTTTGGTGTATACAAGTGACAGGAGGAGGAACTTTTCCTTAAGAAATTATGTAAGTGAGCTATTGCCATTACAATGAGCTCAGCCTTTTCAGGACTTAGCAGCATGGGTTTCCGGAGTGCTCTAAATACTGCTGAAGCAATACCAAATACATTCTCTACGACTCTTCGCGCGCGAGATAATCTATAATTATAAACCCTTTGTAATGATCCTTTGGGGTGAATTCCCGAAAACGGTTTCATTAATGTATCAGTGAGAGCAAACGCCTCATCTCCAATGAAAAAATAGGGAATTTCGCGTTGTCTACCATCCAAAGCTTCAGCTAGTGGCAATCTTAACTCATTTTTTTCTAGTTTTTTGAACAGGGAACAATTTTTGAAAATGCCACCATCAGAAATTCTTCCTTGGCCTCCAGCATCAACATACAAAAAGTTGTAATGAGCATCTACTACTGCAAAAAGAACTATGCTGAATGTCGATTTGTAGTTAAAAAAATCGCTTCCTGTATTAATAGGTGCTTGCAAAACGACGTGTTTTCCATCGATTGCCCCTAGGCAGTGCGGAAAGTTCCAAATATCGTTGTATTGTTTTGCTACTTGTAACCACCCCTCTGATGTTGTTGGTATCTGTAAAAAATATCGTTTTCAGAAACTTCAAAGAATAATGATTCTACTAACTAAAAAACCTTGAATTTATGACCTGATCTACAAGACATTTCTTTCCCAACCCAGAAAACTATTTTGTCATATTATCGAAAAAATATCAACAGAACTTTTTATTTGGTTGCAGATTGATAAAGAAACAGACGAAAGTAATGATGTAGATGATGATACCGCTTTGCAAGATATGAATCCGGACTCTGAGGAGCCCCAGAAGACTAACGACATACAAGAGCCTGACGAGACTGAAGAGCATCATGAGATTCAGAAGCCTCACGGGACTCAGCAGTCTCACGAGACTCATGAGCTTCGCGTGACCCAGGAGCCCAACGAGTCTCAGCAGACTCCAAAGACTCGGATTAGAGTCAGTAACAAGGAAAGAAAACCCCCTCAGATGACTCATAGTATCCCGAACAAAAAACGTGCAGTTGAAAAATTGGATGCTGCTTTCGAAATTCTAACAAAGGCATCGAATAAGGAACCACCGCAGGATCCAAGCGAATGTCAAATATTTGGAAATCTTGTAGCCAAGAAACTTAGTAAATATTCGAACGTAGCACAAACGGCAGTACAAGAAGCCATCATGAATATTTTATTTGCGGCAGACAAGGGGTATTATAATCAATATCCCGCTCCAAGAGGTTATCAATCAAACAATTATTCCACAATCCAAAGCGAACTTGTACAACGTGATTCGGTTTACCAAGATACTCAGTTGATACAATCCCCATATTCACCCCGTCCCGCAGCTCATTGGGATTTTGCAACTGACGCATCATCCCAAGCGCCTCAGTTTTCACCGGTACCACTGCCACTAATATCTCCAGCATCAGCAAGTTCACAATGCTCGGGTATGACAAATTATTCCGCTTCTACCAGCAATCCACCCCCATTTACCAGTGCAACATTACTAACTGATTTAAACTTGCCAGATAATTAAATGATATTCAAGAACAAAATTTTATAGAAAAATGTTTTATAATAAAGAATTTTGAGCAATAAATAAATCAACATACCTGTATATTCTCCTTCAACCCTTCTATGAGAGCTTCACACACTTCTGGTACTATAGCGCTTATCGATTGTTTCGAAATTTTGAACAGATATTGCAGACTCGTGAAGGAATCTCCAGTCGCCAGAAAACGCATTGTTACTGCCAATCTTTCCTGAACCGAAATAGCTTGTCTCCAATTAGTGTCTCTTCTTGATACTTTTGGACCGATTAGGTTAATCAAAAATTCAAAATCAGTTGGCGACATTCTGGTAAAGTTTTTGTATAGACCACTCACAGACTGGAAGTTTAGGTCTCTCAATAAATGACGACCACTGTACACAGTTCTACTGGTGTATAATTGAGTCTGCCACCAGCGTCTTGGTCTGCGTTTTCTCTTATGCACTAAATAGTGCATAACTATGTAAGCTGCAGCAGCAATGTCCATCTTGCTTGAACGTAGATACCAACTAACTAAAAACGTTGCTAAAAAGCTGGGACGCCAATGTTCCGCGCCGATGTTGCGCGGCGATGTTCTGTTGCACCAAACTAAACCCACTTTCCTCATCGCAACGTAACAACGTCGCGCAACAGAACATGTCGCGTGCTTGATACGCGGTGAAGTTACGTTACGGCTTTCTGTTGCATGTCTGTACGCACCTTAAGCCGTGTTCGCTTTTGTCATCTTTTTCGTCGATTTGCTTCGACATTTTGACAGGCACGTGACTGGATCGGACAGTTTCAATTTACAAATCATGTGCCTGTCAAAATTTCGGAGCAAATCGACGAAAAAAATAACAAAAACGAACACGGCCCTAGTAGAGTGTAGTAGGAACCTTGTATCAAGTTCTATTTTGAAAAAACGCGTGTAAATTCCATTATTTTCTTCAGATAAACTCCCGTAGTAACGTGAATATTTACTCGCTCTCTCGCTTCTTGGGTAAAATATTCCCCATTATCGAACGCACCCTCGGAAGTTTCATCTGACGTTAAGATTTTTATTTGATGAAAAAACTCATTTGTGGAAAATAAAACAGGTTCCAGCTTCCAGCGAATTCTAGTCTGCAGTGCAGTGCAGTCCTGTATGGTCCGCGTAGTTTAACGGTTTAGTCAAGGGTAAGTGAAAGTGAGTGCAAGTTTAATGTGTTTAATGTTGTTGGGACGTAGTTATCCCAGAAAAAACATTTTAATAGATTAGATTGCAAATTCAGTGCCCATCATAGCATTTATATAGGATACTATTAATTTATTGTACAAGATTATGTCCTAGAATTTTATGGATTAGGTATAAATTTTATTGTGGCTTCCTCATCAATGGAAGCGTTCCAAATTATATTTTTTTTTGACAATCATTTGGACAGAATAATATGTGTATAAAATAGCGAGTATTTGGCCACGAGCGGCGAAGGAGCGAGTGGATGAACGAATGAGTGCGAGAATAGCCTTCTTCAACGTGAATTTTATACTATTTTCTCGATAGTGGATTTCATTTTTCATTTTTTAAATTTTTTTGTGGTCGGTGTTAGTTGGGGATTTTTTTTTTTGCAAAATATGTCAGTTGGTGACACTTACTTACTTACCAACTGAGAGGTGGATTCTATCATTTTCATTCACCATTTTAGAAGGTTTGACAATTTTGAAGGTACAGGGTGATCTATTATAAATGTAACCCCCTGCTAACTTTTTTATTTGACGTTTTTGTCAAATACAAAAGTTTCAAGAAATTGTCAAAAGTTTTTAAGTCACTTTTAGGCATACAGGGTGCGTCAAAAAAGTGCAGCACTGTGAAGTTATATTTTTTTAAATAGAACACCCTCTATATTGTGCGCTTATTTGTTAGTCTCCTTTAACCTGTTTTCAACGATATAGGTTTTAATATGTCTATCTTCAACAGTTATAGGGAAAAACATGAAAACCCCTTTTAAGGTTTCATATTGAAAAAAGGAAAATTCTCGGGAAAATTATACCATTTACGCTTTAAAGAATTTTTTTTATTATCAGTTTATTGTTCAAACAGTGTTGCCAGGTCTACTGATTTATCAGTAGATCTACTGATTTGGCCATTGGTCTACTGATATACTGATATCAATGTGAATTCTACTGATAAAAGCAGTTGTCATTATTTAACTGCTTTTTATGAAATTTTGACTATAATCATATATGAGAATGTCACAGCAATAATTTCATACTTGACTTGTGGGCTAGGACCAATGACATTGGGGAATCCCCGGCATTCGTTTGTGCTTGTTTTTTGTCTTTAGTCTTGTTTACTTGCCTTTTTTCTTGCCAGTTGCGTAAAGGCATGCGTTCAGCGTTGTTGTTTGTTAGTCAATTGATCACATAGCGTTTTGCTGTACAACTAACTGCAGCCTGTTTCATCTGTTTTTATCAGAGACTAGACTACTACATAGGTAGTGCATTCTTTGGTAGGGCTTATTGAATAGGAATATTTCACGAACCTTGATAAACTATTTCCCAAAAGTAGGTACCTAGTATTGGTGTTTAATTTTCCAATGCAAGTTTTCATAATCTAATGCACAGTGTAATGATTTAAGGATTTGAAAAAATGTAACTAATAGTAGAATATACCATGAGTCAATAATGACAGCTATTATTCCCGAGGCACTATTGCTTTTATATTAATATTAGCGAGCTTTGTTCGCGGATTATATTCTGGACCGAGTCCGAATCAGTCCAGAACATATTGATGGCGTTTCCGGATGGTGGAATTAGTGCAAAGAAAATGTATTTCTATCTTTTTCTTTACCAAGCTGAAAGAAAGAGACGAAAATACACTCAGTGCGCTATATAAATTGAAATTTGGCGTGTGTGTGTGGGGGGCAACTATTTCTTTTTCAACCCCATGTAGAAGCTTAAGGGTAGCGGTGCAAAATTTAGTAACATTCCGAGGGAATAATAGCTATTATTGCGAGTAGTATACTCTATTTTATTTACGACAAATTAAATTATTTGAAATTTCCTTTCCAAAAACGCTGTTCATCCATCTCAATACACAAGCACTAGAGTTTGACACTGACACTCGAGTTTGTTCAGGTATATTGTTTCCATGGTAGAACTACTTATTTAATTTGAGAAATTTTGTTACTGGTGTGCAAGCGGGAATAAGGACCATTAATCCCTGCGGGAATAATATATGGCATTATACTGCCAAAATCACAAATATAATACTTACATTATATGTCAGTCGTAAATAAAATAATTAATTGAGTATACCTTAATGGTTTACCCCTTTAAGTAGACAACTTATCTGTCTACTGATTTCTACTGATATTTAGACTGGTAGTCTACTGAAAAAACGAAATATGACCTGGCAACACTGTGTTCAAATTTTATTCATTAATATACAAGGTGAAATATTATGATAAATCCAGATGTCTAAGCTATTATTTCTATTTTTAAAAAAATAACATGAGAGACCTAGGAAGGAATTTTCGTGTTTTTCCCTATAACTATTGGAGATAAACCAAGGGATAAACATATCAAACCATATATCGTTGAAATCAGGTTAAAGGGGACTAACAAATAGGCGCACAATATACAGGGTATTCCATTTAAAAAAAAAAAAACTTCACACTGCTGCAATTTTTTGATGCACCCTGTATGCCTAAAACTAACTTAGTTAAAAACTTTTGACAATTTCTTGAAACTTTTGTATTTGAAACTTCTGTCAAAAACATCAAATGAAAAAGTTAGCAGGGGGTTACATTTATAGATATACAGGGTGTCCCAAAAAGATACCGACAAACTCTAAGGGGTAGTAGGGGACATCAAAATAAGCATTTTTGTTTATATAAACATATGTCCGCAAATGAGCCATTTGGGCTGTAGAGCAAAAAAACTGTTTGGTACTTTTATTCTTCGCAGTAATTAAATCACTGTTTACTTATTAATTTTGCTTTATTATCAAATAAATTATGGTTTACAATAATTGTTCAAAATGTTGACCAATTTACTTCAATGCAAAGATTACACCGTCGGGTCATTGACTGAAAAGTTTAGTCTACAAAACACCTGTTCGTAATGAGGAAGATCTGATAGCAAAGATACTGGCGAGTTGTACCCATGTAGAAGCTATTCCCGGAATATTCCAAAGAGTTCGCAAGTTGAACAATTATTGTAAACCATAATTTATTTGATATTAAAGCAAAATTAATAAGTAAACAGTGATTTAATTATTGCGAAGAATAAAACTAGATACCAAACAGTTTTTTTGCTCTACAGCCCAAATGGCTCATTTGCGGACATATGTTTATATAAACAAAAATGCTTGTTTTGATGTCCCCTACTACCCCTTAAAGTTTGTCGGTATCTTTTTGGGACACCCTGTATATAGATCACCCTGTACCAATCAATAGGTATACTCAATCGAGAAAAATCTTTCGTTGCAATATCTCACGGAGAAAAACTCTAGACAATCTGTTCGGAAGAAGAAAAGATTGGCTTGAAAAAAAAAATGCAAAGTAGGTAAACTACAAAGGCACACTACACACAATCACCACTGTTAGGGAAAAACCTTAAAAAAACCGAGGAAATATTAATAGTTTTTGTGGTTTTTATGTTAATGTTCTGTGGTCAATGTCTGTCAACCATTGTTTTCATACTCTTTTGGCGTCTGACAGTCTGACGCCAGAGAGAGAGGCTTTTAAATTGAAAAGGTCAATTATTCTACGACAACCCTTTTTTTTCAAGTCATGACGTCTCCGTTATCCAAAGTATAAAACCCTCGTGAAACGAACTTTATAGTCTGGCAAGTGGTAACTTGGTAGAGACGAAAGGGGAAAGAAAACTGGGGCGTTACCTAAAAATATTCACTGACACCTCAACTGACACCGTCTGATGACAGCCATGTCTTTGAGTTCAGTGGCACCGAAAACACCAAGAAAATAAACCAATAAAATTATTAGAAAAAATATTCTCTAGTTTCGCCAATAACCACGCCACTGCGTGCTGTCGTTCAGGCTCTAACCAATAGAATCTTGTTTCTGAATAATCACGCCTCTCCACTTCCATCATTTCGCAATGTTGCCTGATTTTTTCCTATTTCAAAGTATTACATATGCCCATATACAAAAAAAAAATATGTCACCAACTTGTTTATTATTTTGTTTCTAATTTCCGTCATAGAGAAATATAATAGTAGTAAACTACGAGAGAAGTCATTCCCCTGTACTTAATTGACACAATGTCGACGTTAGCGCCTCTGGTGGCTACGGACAGCAATAAAAGAGTGAACATTGTTTAAATGCAGGTTTCTTCTTTACCGACAGTGAAAAGGCGGCTTTTTTGAATAATTAAATTATTAACTTTGATTTTATTTAAGATTTATTAAAAATAAAGTACTGTGAACGCTCAAAACAGTTAATTGCAAAGCAAAACATTTGTTGAAAAAACTTGCTAAAATTTACCGAGCAATTGTTTAGAACGATAACAGAACTTATTTTTAAAAAATCCAAATTAGATGCAATGAGATTCCTTAAGGGGGTCAAGGAGGTAATTGAACAATACAAAAATTGAGATATCTTCAAACAACCTTATTTTTTTATTCCAATTTTATAAATATACAGTAACTAAAAATGTTTGTATTATAAGCTTTGTGTTTACCTTTTTACTGCATCTCGCGTCATCGCAAATTCGAAAACACACTATTATTGGTGTCGGTTTTGTCTCATTAATTAATATTTATGATCACAGAATGTTTTCTCATTTCTCTAATATGAATAATAGAAGAAATTTTAAGTTATGATGATGAGCATTCAGCTTTTGATTGATGGTCTTCGGATACAATGGGCACTTTCCAAATTTCACCGATAAATTGACCGGTCAAATAAACCGGTAGCTGTCAAAAAATTCCGGTAAAAGTAAGGTGAAAGTCCGGTTACATGATTTTTCTGATACATTTTGGAACGCTTTGGTGTATTAAAGTTTGGTTTTGACGGTTGTGCTACGACAATTTAACAAACGACTGCCGATAGTGCCCATTTAAAGCAATTGACGTACGTCAAAAAAAAAGTGTCAAAAAATCTCCAACCGAAAAAACCGACAAAAATTCCCGGTGAATCCGGTGCCTCACCGGTTTCAAACAGCTGATCATTCCG